TTGTGATAGTCAGTGAGATGGCAGCAAAAAAAATAAAAATCATTCTGATCTGTTTTAGAATTGTTCTATCATTACAAAGGTAATTATATTCTTCAACCAGTGGATATATCTTATGTTCTTCTGCTAGAACAGTCCTAAATCTGAAATTCAAAAGAGTATCACATTCCAGTACACTAAGTTTTTTTACCGAAGTGTTGTGAATGAAGCATTAAGATTGCATGGTTTTAGCAACTGCAGGAGGAAACATGGAGACCTCCAAAGGCCAGGAAATGCAAGTTAGGGTAATCAAAATCTCTGCAAAGCAAAAAATATGTTTTTGTGAACAATTACACTCTAATAGTCCTTTCTTTCACACACTGAAATATGTACTAACATATTGCTGCAGGCCTGCTGGAAAGCTCTTAGATTTAAAACTAATGGAACAAGATGTTATGTTCAGGTTGACCTAATAAAACTGAATGCTGTTTCATGTCAGCTTTTAATGACAAAAGCTAAGTAATAGTCAAAAATGAACAAAACACTAAATATCCTACTCCTGACTGCACATATAAACAATTATATCATTTTTTTTTTTTTGCATCCAAAGCCATGAATCTTATACATTTTTCTCCAGTTTGATATATCTAACTGGATTAATCATTATCATTTCATGCCACTTTAGCAAATGGCAACACTTTTTCTTATTAATTTGATGAATACTTTGTCTCACATAAAGTGATGGCAAACTCAGAATTCTGCAGTAACAGCACTGAGTTTCAGATGGCAATACTAGTTTACTCTCAAGGGCGTAGCTCTGTTTGAACAATGAGTTGTTCTTAAGGTAAATAAATGAAACATTCCAATCCACTGGACTGGAGAGAAATGTGTTAAAAATGTCAAAAGCTTGCACAAAAAGCCTCTATTGTAAATAAAGCATCCAAATGGAAACAGCTGCCTATTTCCTCTTGATATGTACTTAGCATTACATTGTGCTGACTGTAGATAGTCTATAATGAACTTAGCTCTACAAGTATTAATGAAGTCTGTTCTATACATAAATAAAACTATACTAACACATGCACGTTAGCATATAAAGTGTTTTCAGGATAACTTACATACTAATACCTGTAGGTTCATGGCCTGTTTTATGATATGGCTGTGAAGATCTAATCCTGAGAGATATTATTTTCAATGAAGTCTTAAGATTACTTAACCTTGACACGAGGGGAGGCTATGTAAGCTCAATTTTGAAAAAGCTAAAGAAGAAAACACTGTTTAACAAAATGTGAACTTCCAGAACAATTTTCTGTCAGATAATTAGAGTACTGTACTCTGATACTTCTCCATGAGTACTCCACAGTGCTGAGTCAACCAAGAACATCAAAACGCACTGCAGGACTAACTTGGGCTTCTGAGTTTCTTTCCTGTCTGGGAAATAGAGCCCCAGGCTTTTTTATGTCCTACCCAGGAGCCATGATGGGTATGGACTATAGCTAAGGACCACTGCCCTTTGATGCACACTTTCGCAGAACTAAGACCAGTTTTCCATCTCCACACACTGGGTGACGGGGAACTGGCTGTATGTAAAACACCTCTACAAACAGCCAGCCAGAAGTTTGATGTATTTCAGACACGAGGCCCACTCCCTTGCACCTGCCAACCAGCTACTCCAACTACAAATTAAAACAGAGCTCCCCAGCAGCAGCTACAAGCCTGATGCTTTCTGCTCCCTTCAAACAACTCTCTACAGTAAGCAGAAGAACTGACCTTTGCTAGGTAGTATAATGATATAAAAAGAAGTGGTAGGTATAATAAGTTACATATTTTAATTGGAAATCTGTCAAAATTATGAAGTTGCATTTAAGATAATAGTTAACCATGTTTGTAAACGCTAACAATGCCAGTTGTAGAACATAAAAGATAAAATGTCTGATGCAAAACTCCTGTGTCAGAGTAACTGCAGGACTGAGAAATCCAGCAATACATAAATACATAAATAAATAAAGTCTGTAAATTATACTTCCTGGGTAAAAATGAATTGTATTAGAGCACACAGGAGAAGCAAAAGATATAGGCAGGAATTAAACAGATCCTTGAGGCACAAAAAAAAAGAGATTACATAAGGCAACTCTAGAGCATAAAACTACAGGAAACAGAGGTGACACAGAAAGGCAAAAGTGAGACAGGAAAAAAAAAAAAAAAAAAAGGACAAGAAACCGAAAAGAAAGTATGAATACTTATGATACAGCAGCAACAAATGGAGCAAGACAAAGCAATCACAGTACACCAATTCACTGATTTTTAATGGCAATTTTTGCAGGGCAAATGAAATCATATTTAAGAACTTGGAAGCTCAGAAGCTCCTGAGACAGGCTCAGCCATTTGTCCTCCCTGAAAAAGGTGGGAAAAAAATATAAAGGAAATGGAACAATACCACATCTTTTTTCTGAAATAAAGTATCTGAAATTATTTTGGAAGTTAAGAAATTGGATAACTACTGCCTCTTCCTCTTCCAGCCTCCAGCAAAATGTCATGATTTCATACTTGGTTTCTGAAGGTGGTAAACCCTTGCAATGCACTTTCATATTATAAAAAACACCATTGCCATTTCACTGCACAGTTAGGAAACTAAGTCCCCAGGAATTAAGATAAATTTGTCACAGTTCTGTTTAATGTATTACATGGTCCAAAACTGCATGGATGTTTCTGCACCTTTAAGATAAACCAATACCTGAAATGAAATTCTTTTAGTCTACATATGAGAGGAAATGATGGCAACAGGTAAAACATATAACAAAATATCATTACCTTTATATATTACTTATAGATGTAAAATTATAACATTTTATCCTTCTCCCAGATGCACTTAACAATTAAAAGCTCAAAATGTATCCTCATCCAAAATGTCTCTCTTAAGACAATCTTTAAATTGTCTCAACAGGGAAAAAAAATAAAGTACAGACCAGATTGTAAAAAAAATAACCCTTAGATCTTCAGTAATTGTACTACTGTTTTTCAACATGATGGTAATACAGCAATAAACCAGTAAAATCAAAGGTAAATTGGTGTAACAACAGTATTGTTAGTGAGCAGTGTCTGGGCAAAGTAATAAGACAGAGGACTGATTTTTCAGATCAACAAGGAACAAGGTAGTTTTAAAAAAATAAAAATTGAAAACATATTTATCTATACAGCATAGCTGAGGTTTTTAAAGCAAAGGGCTAATCCTTTGTAAAAGCTCATAAAATCTGGATCTAGCAACAAATGCTGCAGGCCAGAAAAAAACAAGGCACTCCACCCAGTTCAAACCCCATTCAGGTAACTCCAGTCTCTGCAATTAAAAAGTCTTCCCTAACATCACATCAGCTGTAACTTCATGAAAACACTTTCAGAGATTTTCAAATTCTGACATAGAACATTATCCTTACAAAAACCTCCCTTCCCAAGTACATTTATGAGTTTTCCTTACCTTTAAAAATAACAGAAACAATAGGATCTGGTTTCCCAAACTTGGTTTTCGGGATATTTGTAGCAGATTCCACAATCACCCGAAGCATTGTTTCCAGCCTTGACTAAATGTCAATTGTTACCAAAGAAACTGAAGGAAGTCTAAGTTGCAAACTCCATAGTCTCTGGACTGAACTGCTAGCAGGAAGAGGAGGCAGGGAATAGCTCGCCCACAGTAAAGAAAGTCTATGGGTGGATCTATGACGGACTAGCTCCTGAAGGCTATGAAAAAAGTGCCTGTAAATTGACACCAAGTACTGTGCTGTTGCACAAAGAGGCTCTGACTGGTGAGATCCAGTAATAGAAAGGGCACAGTGCAAAAACTGCAGATTTCTTTTGTTGCTTTGATTCTTACACTGGGTGACAAATATCTCGTAAATTACCAAGACAAGAATAAGCTTAAGCAATACATTAAGCATGACTCCAGTAGTCAAGATACACCCACATCTGTCTCTTGCAACACCGAGGCATTAAATTTCATGACAGCGTTTTTCCTCTTCATTTTTAGAACTTCATCATTTGTAAATGTTTTCAGCCTACCTCCCTGTCTGCCTGTAATCAGAAACACCAGTGTCTGCAAGAACAGGCTAAGGGCTCCCCCTTCAGCTGTGCTCTGGAACAGCCACGTTTTAATCCACTGCAGGTGGCGCATTTAATCCGGTGTGTTTAGTAGATCTCTTAAGAAACGCCTAGAATACACATTCGAAAGTAAAAAAGATACCAAAAAAAAACCAAAACAAACAAACAAAAAAAACAACATTCAAAATAATAAGCGGAGGTAAGAGCCTGCGTATCTCAAACACGTACTTACTGCATGGGCTTGTGTTAGGGTTGCACTATGATGAAATTCGGTGAAACTTACATGGCATGAACAAGAGCTCTTCGCATAGAGCTGCCCCTTTGCCAACATTGTAGCTTCTCTCAGCGGTGAGCAGCTGTAAAAGAGAAGTGGTTCACACCGCTTCCACAAAGCCTATTTAGAGCATAGACGAGAGAGGAAGCTGGAGCCAGTGAGACTGAGCACAACGAGCCACCCACGGACACAGGGCAGCGTTGTAGCAGGGGCCCCACGAGAGCCATGCTCAGCTTATCACCTTCGAAGCCAAGCCCGCTGGCGATCACATTTTAGACAGCTAAAGGGACAGGGAGGGTGTTAAGGGAAGGAGGAGGAATCCAAGGGCGACGTGCCCAGGAACGGAGGAAGAGGAGGACGCAGAAGCAGAGCAGAGCACCGCCACAAGGCTTGCAGCCACCGCCTGGCCCCGGAGCCACCCGTCAGGCCGGCTGCCCTGTGAGGGCACTGCGGACCCCTCCAACGGAACGCTAACGGCTGCTGCGCGAGGGCAAACCCGCCCCGAGCACGCGGGCGGAGGCGGCAGAAGGAAGGCCCCGCTGCATTGGTTAGCCGGGCTGCTACACCGCCCGCACCAGCCAATGGGATGCCTCCTCTCATTCACCCCACGGAGAACCCAGCTGCATCCCAGGCCGTTAACGGTCGCCTAGGCACGAGCACCACGTGCCCCCGCGGCCGCGACCGCGCCCCCTCCGCCCTCCCGCCTGTTTTAACCCCCGGGAGACGCCGTAGCTCTGGCTTCGCGGGGCGGGCGGTGTGGGCGGAAGTGACGCCGGGGCAGCCGCGGGATTCAAACTCGTTTCGGTGGCGATGAGCGTCTGGGCGGGCCGCGAGCTGCTGGCGGGCCGCTGGCGCCGCGGGCACGGCGACGGCCCCGGCCCCGGGAGGGGCGAGCGGGACGGTGCGGCGCCGAGGAAGCCCCCGGAGGAGGCGGTCGCCGCGCGGGGCCCGCTGGCAGCCCCGGAGAGAAGCAGCCTGCTGCAGGTGAGGGCTCACCTCTGGCTCGGCGCCTTGCCCTGCCGGTACCGCCTGTCCCCAGGCGTTTTCCAGCGGCGGCTGGGTTAACGCGGCTGTCGATCAGCCGGCCGGGCACGGGAACGCTGAGCCGTGAGGGCCAGGCACCCGCTAGGCCGTGAGGTCCCGGTGTGCTGCCTTCAGAGGCAGTAAGGGTGCTCCAGGGAGTGCTGAGTGCTTATTTGAACCAGGATCCCGTATTTCCACTCGGCTGCAGGTGAGTAAAATTGTAAATGGGTCCCTGGGTGGTTCCATTGCATCCACTGAGCAGGAGATGGGGTGCTGCAGCTTCCACACCTCCTGGTGCATCAAAGGTAAGCCTGTGGAAGCAGAGAAAGGAGTTAGACGTCTCGTGTGCTGCTATTAGGCTTTCCAGGGTAACTAAGCTTTAAATAGAGTCTTTCAAAGGATGTAACAGACTAGGCACGATATTTATAGGCTGCCTTCTTTCACAACATGCACCTTGACAGGCATTTTTAGATAGCACGTGGTGTCAGTGTTTTAGTTCTACTGAGCGCTGTGTGTTGTCTTCAATGAGGTCCTGTAAAATAAAGTATCACCAAGTTTTACTTTTAACTAGAGGTTCTTGTACTGCTTGCATTTTCAAGTCCATGTACTGTAGTGATTCACATTCATATACAAAACTACTAAGTCTGTGAAATTTGGTTTTCTGCATTATTTCCTTGTTTCATCTGCTGTAGACTGTCTCACCATCATCTGAAATATTTCAGGTGATCATTGTAGCACTTTCTGTCTTACTAAAAAGTAACATTCTAAGCTGACTAAAGGTGAAGAGAAGCTTTCAAAGTGACTATTTTAAGCTGTTGTAAACTTGCTAATTCTATTGCTGTATGCAGACACTCATTTGTGCCACTTCTTTGTGTTTCATTTAGAAAATATTTTCTCTTGAAAAAGAAAAACAAAAGCACAACCATCTTCTTGGAGAGAAGGACAAAGAAATTCAAAATCTGAAAGATAAGCTTAAGTCCAAGAACAAGAACAGTGAAGTCTCCTCATTACAAAGTCAACTAGAAGAAAAAAAAAAGGAAGCAGAAAGGAGAGAACAGTTACTTAGTTCTCTATTAGAAGAAATGAACCGGTTAAAGTGTAGTTTATCCACTGTTACTGCAAAATGTTCTGAGCTTGAAAACAAAGCCAGTAATTCTCAGGCATCCCAGGTAAGCACTGAAAAATAATGAAACTGTTTACAGGTTAGGGTTGGAGCTTGCATCTGCTAAGCACCAGTGCCTGTTATAAAATGGGATGAGTTTTTACTCTTATTACAAATCTTCATACAAGATTTCAGCATGCAACATGATGAGGAATCTAGACTGAACACTAAACAAGCAGTCCAGGGGTACACCTTCAGGTAAAACAGCTGCGAATTCTGTACTGTGAGGTCCCTTCTTCAAGCTGCCATGCATGTGGGTATGGCAAGTGGTATGACATGGAATGGCCCACTGTTGCTTAAGCAGATATATGCCCTTCTTGAATACATAAGCTCAATGGTTAATCAGACTGAGATGGCAGCAGTAATAGTGTGATGGGGCCTTATAAAAGAACACTAAACTCATCACCTAATTCATGCTCAGTGATGACAATACCTCTCTCCTCCCTGCTGTTATGAATCCTCATTTGTTTCTTAGTTAAAACTGTCTGCAATTTATATGGCATAATATGTGGGAAATGCTTCAACGTAACAAGGTAGGAGAGGAATAGTGAGTTGTTGACTTCATTTAAAATGCTAAATAGCTATCGTGTCAGGTACTTGGCTGCTTTTACAGGTGCATTTAGTTTTCTACAGTTGCTTATTCACCCCTGCCTGTTCTAATGCTCAATGGGAAATGCAGTACCTCAGTAGGGGACGTGGAAACTGCTGCTTTACAGGAGGTGCAGCTAAGTTTTTCCAGTTTTAACCTATAGATGGTGCTAGTTACCCAAACTACATAATGAAATTGAGTAATTTCTAGAAATTCAGCTTTAGTTGATAATACTGCATTATTCAGTGTGATGCAAATATGGATCTTGGGAAATATTACTACAAATGTAATGTGCTTACTTCCAATTTCCAGGGACTTTGAACCTTGTTAGACAAAATTAATACCTTTTTATGCTATCTTTGTCAATGGACTTATCTTCCTAGTAATCACTACAGGAGTTTTTCTTCTAAACCATAACAATATCAGAACTGCATCTCTGAATATGAAATTAAAAGCCTCTTGGTTCACTCAAGAATATCAAGTTCCTTTCTGTATGGACATTCCTTATTGCATTTAGCATAGTAAGCTGCAGGTAGTTGAACTTCAGTAGCAATACAGTATAATATTCTGACTCTGCAGAAAGGTTTGGAGGTGTGCCAGAATAATAGGTCATAAAAAAAAAAAAAAACAAACAAGGGCAAAGAATCCTGTAGTCTACAGAATCCTTCCTGGCATTGAAGGATGAAGACCACCACTCGCTATCTGTACCAAGTCTGTAGCACTGATGTGAGAAATTCCAAGTGGTCTGCTAGTTGGAGGAGGTGTATTTTTCTTTCAATCTGAGGTATAAAATATGAGGATTAAAGAGTGTAATTATATCCTACCTGTTAGACAAGGTTTCTTTTTGGTTACATTAGAAATTGGGCTCTTTCTCTACCTTTAGAGTAGCTTCCTTGCTGTCACAGTGATAAACAGAAAGAAGCCTGAAGGTAGCAAGATATATTGGACAGTTATAAATTGGATTCTGATTACCAAAGTATCTTTAATTAAAAATTATATTTTTACTGATCTATCATTGAAGGACAACAACTTCATTGACTTTTTCACTGAATGCTTTGGGGAACTTGAAAATGAGTTCAGCAATGTTCCTTAAAACTGCTAGGGGGCATACAAGCAGCAGGTGTACTCTGAAGTGGAAACAACAGTTGTATGGCTACGAGGAAGTGGGGAAGTTTTCATTGATGCACAGTTCTAGTATTTACAGAAATAAGTATCTGAGCAATTGTCGTGGATCTAAATCCTATTAGAAAGCACTGAGCTTTAATAACTGCATTCAACATGCAAGATCTCCTATTTTTCCAGCTGTAAAACTGGTTCTAGCTCATTCTAAAACAGAAAAACCTTGGGGAAAAAGGTAGCTTGGATTTAGGTAGTAACCTACATTTGTTATTAAAGTTCCCTCTGCCTTATCTAACTTCAAAAAACTTTCTGTTGAGTAGTGAATAAACATGCTTGCACGGTTTCCCAGTTAATTATAATTCTATGGTAATCACAACAAAGTTGTTGAGCTCTCTAGCTTCGCCCAGTGACTCCTATAGGTCTACTTTATTGTCAAACTGGTATTCTGAGGATATGAAAATAGAACAAACACATTGTTTTTAAATAAAACCCTATATATCAAAATTTATCGAAAGCTCTCCTATACCTTTCAATTCTCCCAAGACAGAAATTCAGTGAAATAGTCTTAGAATATATTTTAATGTAACTGAGCTTTAGGATTATTGAATAAACAAAATTTAAATCTGTCCCATATTTTCCAGTAGATATTTAAAAAAAAAATCTATTAAGTGACTTCCTCCATAACTTAGATCCTTCTGGACAGACTATGAAGATCTCTAAATGCAAGTGTCAGATGTATGAATCTTTTAAATTTTAAACTATACTTATATTGTTTATGGTCTTAATAGTTACATAGAACTACTTTTACTGTTTCATTCTTCTATTTTAAACAATGCTAACTGATTATTCTTTGTTTGCAGGAAGCTGTAACAAACAGCACTGGATCATCAACTAATCTTAGTGAAGTAGAGAAACAACTGAAAGATGTAAGCTTTCTGTACAACACACCAAGGATAAATCATGTATTAAAATCTATAAGAATGGGAACTATTACCATGTTTTTGGTAGACTGGGACCTCAGAGTTTGTTTTCCTCTAAAATACTGTAACAAATTATTTTGTGAGAAAGCAATCAAATAATGAAGGGCTTGTGAAAGACACTTCTATAATATTGCAAATCTGAATCTATAATTGTTGAAAACAGTCCTTGGAATAACAGAACATAGTGGCTGCTGACAGAACAGAAATCCCAAGGCACACGGTCTGTCCACAGAACTGATGTTGTCTGGGATAGCATAAGGTTAGATTTTAAGCCTCCTGAGGTCTCTTTGAACCTCAGTAGTTCTATGATCTAATGAGATATAAAATCTATGTACTTGTTCTTAGAAATTTTAAGTTGTAATTATACAGTTTTAGTTACATATAAAGTAATAGATCCTGATGATGAAATAGAAATGAAAGGATAACTCTTCATTATCTGGGGCATGTTTCATGAAAGTGTTTAGTTCCAAGTCATTTCCCTATTCCTGCAAATATGCCAGTCAGAATTTAATATTGCTGCAATTTAACTTATGCTCAATGACCCACATCAAGATGTTTTTGTATCATACAGAGATAACTACAGTTTACAGAGGAATTAACTAACTTGTATTTAAACAAATGTATAACACTTACATTTTTAAAGAAATGAAACTAACACATTAAATCTGATAAAAACAGAAAAGCCTCTAATAGTTTCTTCTGTTCCCTTCCATGAAGGCTCTTGAGAAGAACCAACAATGGCTACTGTATGACCAGCAGCGTGAAGCATATGTCAGGGGACTGCTTGGAAGGATCTTTGAACTTGAACAGAGGTCAGAAATAGTTAGCCAGCAACAACCAAAAGAATCTAATACAGAAGGTATTGATTTTTTCCATGATTGACTCAAAACACAATTTTCTATAGAATACATTTTCCATGAACTATAGCATATGATGGACTCTTTTCACAATATTTTGCTTTCTTAATGTAAAATTTAAAATTGTGTTTTATCTAGCTGTTACTTGATCAATATTTCTTGTTCCTATCTACTTCACCAAATGTTTTTCTAAAGCCTTGACAGTCTATTGGCCACCTTTCTGTTTGCAGAAAGTGTTGAGGTAAATATACGTATATACCAGCCTTCAAAGTACACTCTCAGCCTACATAAAGGAAAACATTAAGAATTTACTGGCTAGGTGTGGATCAGTCTCTTTTCAAAATAAATATTATAAAAGTGACTCAAGACTGGCACGTTCTTTATCCATCTGAGAAGTTCTTACATGGCATGAAGACCTGTGATTGATTTTTGGCACTTATCCAAAACAATGCTTTGCAATATGGATATGGTAATCTATAGCTTGGTATTATGTGATGCAGTTTCTTATTAGCACCATCTCAGTACCATGCATTCAGATTGACGTGAGTCATGCTTGACCAGCAAGTGGAATAAAATTAAAATAATCTTGAGCAGAAGAGCCAGAAGTTTACTTCCCTTTCTTATCAAACTAATCTCACATATGCTGCAACTGGTCTACAAGGTAAATTCTCTAAACAGAGCTAGCCTCACCTACAGTAAGAGTATGCTCACAGGTACTTGCTGCTTAGTAATTTGTTTGCAGTGGCTTGGTTTCTCTATTGGTGCTGTTATTCTTATGGAAAAAAAAAAATGTCATCTTAACCTACCTTTAGTGCTGTTTTAGAAATCTGTTTTTCTAGTATTTTAGAAGGAGGAAGATTGAAGTAGCTCACCAGAAAACGTAACTCAGTTACTGAGGTCAAAGCTTTCTCATCAGAGCAGCCAGGAAACATGGAGTAAGACGATTAAAGTTCCTCTTCAAACAGACAGTAGTAGAGATCAAAGATGAAGAAAAATCTAATTTAACAAATTGAAAGTAGAAATGACAACTTTTTTCCAAGGAAAACCTTGGTATCTCTCTGAAGACCTTGCTACCTTATAAAGGAATATTGTTAACAAAAAGCTAAGCCTTAGCTTATGTTTTCCTTAGCTTGAAAACATTCAAGCAGGAAAACTTTCCTAGTAAATTATACTTTGAAGTACATGAGGGAAGCCTTCAACAAGAGAAGTACCAAAGTCAAGAACTTCAGAGTGCCGTAAATCACCAAAGCCTTTTTAAGACAGCATTCCTTGTTCTGTTCTAGGTATACTTTGTATTGCTTCTGAGTTCTTGCAGATTACCTCTTCTTTCTAGTTGATGAGCTTTTCTTGGGTGAACAAGCACTGACTTCTTGAACATCTGTTTAAGCAATAGTCATTAGCCATGAAGCAGATGCCTTTGATCAAAAGGCCTATCCTAGTTTGCTTTAGTTAAAATGGAGAAATAAGTGATTGCATTTAATTTGAAGACAGTCTAACAGACAAATATTCTGTCTTTAGTCAATGACAGACCATTGGAACCCCAGGGTATCTCTGACGCGAGAGTAATGCCAGAACCTTGCCTAACATGCCTAAATCTGGAAGTGAGAACCTAGTGTCTTTAGGCATCTATTTCAGCACCTCAATATAATGCGTGAGGTTATGTAAGAACTGTTTGTGGGATCATGCAGTCTGTGTAGTCAGGGCAAATGATGTAACATTACTTCCTTGACTGTCATAGCAGCTATAGCACAGTATGGTGTGTGAAAGTAGAGCTCTTTTCCTATCTTGAGAGAAGATTTTTCTCCTTTAGAAGTATTGAAAGTAGTTTAAAGTCCATCTTGGTGATAATTTGAGCTGTGTAACAGCCTAAAATGTCAATTTATTATCAATATGCTTTAAAATGCTATCAAGGATTTGGTGCTCTGATTCTTAAGTGATTTTTTTCCCATGTTACTGTCTCTTTATTTGTCTCATTAAGGTCATTTACCAGAAGAAAAGCAAAAATATTATGACCAGCTGTTATTAACTGCTAAAAGTGATCTTGAGACTGAAAGACGCACTATAACCCAGTTGAGATGTGAACTTCATGAATTCAAAAATAAGTATGAAGAAACACAACGAGAAATAATGAATTTAAATGACTTACTGCAGTCCCAACACGCTGTTGAAATGAAAGCTCTAGAAAATGAAAACAAAATAAAAGGAGAAAAAGTGCAGAGGCTAAAACAAGAAAATGAAAGTATTAAAGTACAGCTAAGAGAAGAAAAGGAGAAGTGTGAAGAACTGTTATCTCAGGTAAGTGGATGGACTTGGAAATTGAAGATCATTAGCAAAGATTCAAGAGCTGAGAAGTCATACTCACTTGCTCTGGTAGCTGCTCTTTATGTACATCTAGACTCATGTCCTTGTGGTTAAAACTGAGTTCTTTAATACTGCTTTAGGTCACAATCCAAAGTTTTGTGAGATTTACTTGTTTAAAAATGTTCTAGTTCACTTATATTAAGAGTCTTGTGGGGTGTAAGAGGAAGTGAGAATGCACCATTGATTTTAATCTGGCTATTAGTGAATGGGAACAGAAAAAGTAAAAAATAAAATAAAAAATTCAAATTCATACAGGCCATTTTATCATGTGGTCTGAACTGGGATGTTGCTATTAGCTGTCAGCTGTAATTTCATAGTTGCTGGGTAAGTAGCCATGTTCCCAGATAGTGTCCTCACCCAACAGTTGTAGCATGCAGCAGGTTTTCTCATTCAGATGTGTTGCTGCAATAGGTTTCGTATATATTGTCACAGACAATAACTAAGCAAGCATATCAGACTACTAAGAAGAAATGGCCAGATAAGCAAGGGAAGGGAAGTTATCACTGTTTTGACAGCTATGGTAGAAACCACTGACAAGAGTTCTGGAACTTGTCACAAAACCCAAGAAGTTGCATGTGAGGCAGGCTGTTCATTATGCCTGGGTTTCACTGTTACCACATCTGTTTTTCTATCAGGTTCTAATTGTTTGCAGGGCTTGTCTGTCTCCCAGGGAGTAACTTGATGACTTCAAGTTAAATAGTTGTTCGTACATGTAGTTTTTGATTCTACCTTCAATTTTCCTGAGGCCAATGGTTTTTAACCCCTTTGGGTTAAGAGTTTTTCCATCAAAATAGGGTAAACAAGTGCATATTGTATGTTTGGATAAAAAAATGATTTTTTTGGAGTAGTAATGAGGACTTTGCTACCTTTCCTATGTGGACAACTACTGTAGTATCTTGAAACAAAGTACTCTTGTTAGCATCACCATGCCAACAAAAACTTTCTTTTTCTGGGCATGAAATCATGATTACCTACTGGTTGAAGAGAACCTGGATAGTTCTTCTTGAAGGTCTGCCCTCAGGGCATCCAAATATGATACACCTGCTACTTAGAGAAGTTTGCAGTCAATAGCATAAAACAACATAGAACTGAAGTTTGAAATAAGAGGATATAACTTAATAGGCACCAAATTAGGTTAATTGTAGAACATCAGTTTATCTCCCTAAAGAGGCTTTTGCAGTTACTTAATCCATTATTGTTGAGTATTTTCTAACTTTCTCACTTATATTTAAATATACATTGCTTAACTTAAAAAAAAAAAAAACAAAAAAAAAAACACGGTATGTTAGTCGAAACATGTATTTTGTGTATTTTCTGTTCTGTCAATCACTAGGAATTTTTTTGTTTAACTATAATATTAAACTACGTTCTTCCCCCTCGGTGCAGTGATAAATACTTCCTTGGGGAAAACCCGGGGAAGTGTTAAATTGGGCTTGGCTGTTGCGTAACAGGCATGTTTTCTGCTCGTACTGGCATACAAAAACTTAGCTCTATTCCTCTCTAGGCTAATTGTTTCAAGTTTATTATCTATTGTATGTAGAAATTGCTTACATGTTCTTCTGCCTTGTAGGTACAACTTCTTCGTAAATCATTGCTCAAACAGCAGGAGGAACACACTAGGATAGCTTTGTTGGAACAACAGGTACCCAATTACATGTTCAGATACTGGGTTGATTATTTAAGAACCTGATACTTAAATTGTGATATGCAGGAAGGCTTTCTAGACTAACTTCTCAAGTTTAAGAATAAGTGCTATATTGAAGTAATATTAGACCTACATATGCAATTAGGGGTGATCCCTTAGTGCTTCTAAAAATTCTGACCCTTGTTGAAGGAAATCCCTAACCTTTTATAGGGGAGAGGCTGCAACTAAACCTGATGCTACTTCCGTGCAATTGCTTGTTCAAATAAATAGAAACTGTACAGCCTTAAATTAGGTATGGGAAACATCCTAAAACATTCAGCTCACTGAAATCTGTAACATACTCTTGATAGTCATTGACATCTTTCGTGTTACTGCTTCTTTTCCCAACTACGTTCTTGCAGATCTAACTGATGTCCTTGGAGAAAGTTATATCATACTTACTTGCCAAGCATGGGTGTAGTGTTATTCATGTACTCTTTTCAAACTGCTACAAGTAAGATCACTGGGTAGGAACTGGCATTTTTATTGAACATGTCCTACATGCTCCTCCATGTAAAATCTTCAGTTTAAGACTGAGATAGCTCAAATGTGCTCTAACCACAGTTACCTTTGACTCCACCTCTATGGACCTTCCTAATTGGGCATGTATGAACTTTACTGAAATGAAAAGAACAAGTAATTTTATCCCACTTTAGGATATGATTGCTGAGTAAAACTTCAAATGGATAAAGGGGCCCTCACACATGCTTAATTCTGCCTTTAATTCTTTAATTTTTTGGGGGGATTGCCAGATCCAGATATGTACTACAGACTTTGAGAATGAAAAGCTAGACCGCCAGAACTTGCAGCATCAGTTAAACCAAGTCCTCAAAGAACTGCGCAAGGCCAGGGAGCAAATAACCCGGCTGGAACCTTTGGTATGTACTGGGTAACTTGCAGGAAAACTCAGATATGTTGCATAAATGAACACTTCTTCACTTCAGAGTGCAGTTAATGTCAACAGATTTTGACTGCAGGTGTTTACATCTTTTAAATACATAGTCCTAAGGTGCAGAACCTTATGGTAGCTAGCAAGCTATTGCTGTATTTTCTAAAGCGCCACAGACAGCTTGTACTGTAGAAGGAGATATAGAAAGGAAGAGAGATAGAATAGTCAAGAGTCCTCAGTAGCAATTTGTATCGCCATATGCAACAGACAAAACTACATACACAATAACAAAGCTGTAGCATGCTTCTACTGGAATTTGCTGCTAGTGGACAAGGCACTACCCTTAAATGTAGTTGAGTTCCTGCCCAACCCCATTCAATACACCCACAATATTGAATGGGTGTGCCACAACAAGTGGATCTGCCTACTTCCCAAAATGAAAAAGAACACTTGTACTGAGGGCAAGTGGTTTGTTTGCTACTTATATAAGCCCAAAGAAAGCCACCTAGATTTGACTATCTGATTCAACAAATTTATAAGGAAGGATTATATATCAAGCAAGTCACTGTGTAACTCTGACACAGGGTCTTGTAAGATTAGTCGAGACAGTTCTATTTAGCTATTACCTACAGTTCTGGATTTATTTAAATGAGATTCAAAACAGAAATCCAATGCCTCTGTCCTTCATTAGATCAGGTCTGAGGCTGCTGTGCTTCTTACAGAGAATATAAATGCAAAAGCTCCTAACCAGTTGCAGAGCAGAAGAATTCTTTCAACTCTGACAAACTGTTCTTCCTCTTAGTTGCATGCAACTTAGGATTCATTTGAGAAAGTACTTCTGAGATATTGTTGATCTTGATGTGTTCTTGTCCCTGTGAGAACCTCGCTAGCTAGGATTGTAGTTGCTGCTGCTGCCAGCAGAGGCCACTAGAAAACCTTTTGGCTGCCAGGAGCAGCAGCTGTTCAGCTGAAGTTCGTGCACAGCAAGAGGAAGCTGTAATACTCTTTCCCTGTGCTAAGTTGGCTGGCTAACTGCCAAATGGAGAACCAGGTGACTGTCTCTTCCTGCTTGGAAACTGTCCATGGTGTCAAGGAAAACATGGAAGAGTTTGGGAAGGTAGCTAGGCAGAGGCAGTCAGCATTCCCTATAGAGGGGGTTGAGGCATTTCATTAAGGAGGCATAGTATGTATGAGTGCCTAGGAAGACTGTTGGGGAAGGGTTTGTTACAAAGGTGAAACAAATTTCCTTTATATAGGTACACCTATACATCACGTTGAATTCCCTGGTATGTGTATGGGCATATTTTTAGGAATTTCAAATGTAATCTAAAACAACTTCCAAAATAAATGCAGCTTAATTTTTGATCACTGCACTTTTCATTATTTTAATGTTGATATTAAGCCTGGGGTCCTGTTGTAACAAGGTTTCAGTCCTTGTTCTTTATTTCCTTCACTCTTCCTTCCCCCCTCCCCCCCTCCCCCCCCCCCCCCAAAAAAAAAAATCCACAGCAATATGTAAACAAATGTATTATAAAATGGTTAAAATACCTGTATGCAGTACCAACATTTCTAAGAGTCATGCTCAACTATTTCATATTTAGTGTACAGCAACTTTGCTTTTTTTATTAGGATGCATATGAAAGCTCTAAGAAGCCTAAAATGCTGTGTATTAGCAGTGATAATATGGGAGTCTGAGGCTTTGCTGTCTCAGCTTTCACCATAGCTTCTTTCATTATACCTTATGAACCAGTGGCAGGAATCGCATTTTATTCAGTGGTCCATGAAGAGAAAACTACTTCAAAATATGAATGTTGTGTTGGGTCTGTCTGAGCTGGAGTCACCTTTTCCCTGCAGCAGCCCACACAGTGCTGTGCTCTGCACTTGTAGCTGGAACAGCACTGATAACACTCCAGTGTTGTGTCTATTGCTGCGTAGTGCTGGCACAGCATCAGGACTCCTTCCAAGCCCCCAAGAGCCAGCAGGCTGGGGGTGGGCAAGTGATGGAGAGGGGACACTGTCAGGGCAGCTGACCTAAACCAACCAAAGGGATATTGCCTGATATCACACTCAACAATGAAAAGGGGGGCTCTTGTGGGGAAGGAGGCTGTTCCTCCTGAATAACCACTATATGTTTTGAGGCCCTGCTTCTCAGGACATGGCTGAACATCGCTTGTTGATGGGAAATAAAGAATTTTTTTTCCCCTCTCTCTGTGCTTCCACATGGACTTACTGTTTCTTTTGTTTCTCTTTCTCACTATTCCCTTTCCCTTTAATTAAACCTTTCTCATCTCAGACCTCGAGTTCTGTGTTGTATTTTCTCCCCCTTCCTCTGAGGAGGAGTGAGAGAGCGGTTGTGGTGGAGCTCAGCTGCCCACCTGAGTAAAACCACTGCAAATGTGCACTAAATAGTGACATAATGTAAGTGATGTACTCTTATTTGTTTACTTAATCAGACATCGTGGAAAGCTTGCTTTAAATAGATTGCAGGTAGCTTTTCTGCAGGCTAATTAAAATGCAGTGTTAAAATTATACAACAGGCCCATATTGCTCTGTGTTTTTAATGCAAGTAGCATAATTGCCTTTAGCCATCTTTAAAATTCAGTCCTTAGTGCTGTAACGTGCATGATTTGCGTGCCATTAAACATCTTTTTCCCTACATCTATTTGACTGGGACCCTTTGATGCATCTTCCAGTCCCTCACTAAAGATTCTCCTTTTCCAGAAACTCCAAGAATCTGGATGTGTGGAACCACAAGCAGACTTGCAAGCTGCTTTTGAAGATAAGATGACAGTGTATGACAGAAGTCCTCCTCAGAAACATTCAAGTCTACTTGATGAAAGTTTTCTCGAGTGTCCCAGATGTAAAGTGCAATATCCAACAAGCCAGCATAGAGAATTACTAGTGCATATTGACTTTTGTACAGCTTAAGATCCAAATGAACTTCCTGTATTTGCTCTTTACATGCCACCGGTATACTATCCTGCAAAGGCAAAAGATTTTTGTAAAGCTCTTCTTTCAAGGTTGTATAAAGGACTACTAGCATTTCAATTCAAAAAAATCAGTAATTTATTTGGCCTCATATTTTACCTGACATTTGTGGAAACAGCTACAGCTTTCCTTGTTTCAGGTGGACATATTCATAGAATTAGGAATATTTTCAAATAATAAACTACTGACATATTTTATTGCACTTTTAAAAATAAGTAAAATACAGCTATTGTGTCAGACATTAATACTTGGCGTATCCAGTTCTTGGCTGATGGATCCTGACTGCTTGTAGCAAAAAAGACTTGGCTATAGTATGTGCACTACACACACATATGTAATGTGTCACATCTACATATACAAACTCAGGAAAGTCTGTTAACATGTCTTTGCTACTTTAGATTTATTTTGAAAGCATTCTAAGTAGCATTTTTCTGAACCGCAGTTGGGGTGACCTGGAGCTCATACAAAACTGTTGACCATGTGCAAGGTCTTCTTATCATTCATCCTTGGGTAAGCAACTTCTTAGCAACTGTGAATGTGATTGGTACTGGAAAAACCTTCCATTTCAGATGCTGTCAGAAACCAGTTTGGAAATTTTAGTATCCAATTAAGCTGAAGTGAACTTCAGTTTGCACTTCCGTATTTTACTGGTTCAAGTAGGAAAATGTCAGTTACTAAATTTGTTTTAGGTCTTCCATTTTAAAAATGCAGGTTTGAATAAAGTACTCCAGTGAATTTGGAGTGTTGCTATTTCATACCAGCACAAAAAATGCCTGTTAGTGTTCAAGAGGTAGTTTAGGTAATGCCGTGATCAGTACGCTTTAAATTTTGGTTAGTCTTGAAGCAGGCAGTTGGACTAGATGATCTTTGAAGGTCCATTCTAACTGAACTACTCTCTTCCAAAACAAGCTGGCAATAACTTTTTGCAGTTAGTCAGCTTTTGTCAGTTTCTAATTGTTTATTGATTTGCAATCACATCGCTTTCTTTTAGCATATATTGTAAATCCTGGGTCTGTTGCTAGCACTTTCTTCCTTTAGTAAAGTTCAACTATTCCTTTCATGGGAATGATAAAAGTAAGGAAATCTTAAGGCACACTAGCTAAAGCATTTGCTGCTTTAACAATTTTATGGCTTGCTGAGGCCAGGAAATTACCTACACACAGCCAGACTCCAAGGTGTAACTTTCTCTGGTATACTGAATTGAATGGCTACCTGGTGTCAGTTTTTTTCTATTACAATTTACTGTAAAATTTTGTGCCTCAAACCCATAACATTCTCTCTACTCTTTAATGGTTGAATCTTTTACATATAAGTGTGTTTTCCAAGTTTTTTTTCCCCAATTACTATTATGATATTTACTTATGTTGTTGATAAAGCCAGTGTTTGAGACAGAGATTGTATTGTCACTTTTCAATTTTAGTGACTGTCTCAGGCTAATCTTTGTCTTTGACAATTTGGCCAGAAAACCTGCTGCTGCTATTTAGGGAAGATGTGATGAACTAACAAGTGAAGTACCTCATGCTTTGGAATCATAAGGTTTTGCTATGATGGAAATTCCCTTAATTTCATGTTCTCCTAAATACCTTTTAAATGCAGGATAATAATGGCACTTTTCATTCCGGCCTTTGACTTTAATCTCTTATTAAACTACTTTTGGAAGTTTAAGTTGTCTTTTAGCAGTACATTAATCAGCTAGTATTCTATTCTCAGTTGTATACTCAGCATGGTTTCTGCAAGGAGAAATTCTGATCTTTTATGTATTATAGATGAAATAAGTTTGCCTGCCACAGGTCAGCAGTCTTCTCTGAAGTAATTCTGAGGCTTTTTTAAATTAGCCTAAAACACTTGCTCATTAGAAGCTGGTACTATAGAGGAGGATTGAAAAGCAGCAGCTCATTAGGTGGTCAGTTATTTAATATTAGAGTGAGTACATTCAGATGAAGTTGATAAATTAATATCCTTTAAAATATTTTGTTTATTCTGACATCTCTTCTGAACTCTCACAACATGTTTAGATGTAACTAAGCACAAAAAATGTATTGATAAAATTATGCACCATCAATGTTGTGTATGTTAAAAACTAGTAAAATGACAGTCTCCAGTGTCAAAAGTCCTACTTTGAAGGCACAACAACAACTATGTAATCACTTACGGGATTACAACCAACTACAGAATGGTAGTCAGACTCTTTCATAAAGCATGTAGGTGATAGCACTGCCTCTTTTTTTTTTTTTTGACCCTGTTCTTTTTTCTTACATTCAGTTAATCAAGGTATGTTGAACCATTCTACTACCTCCTCATTATTTAAGTGCTTGTGCAACTTCATTTCTTACTCTTGTTTTTGATAAAAATAAAAAAAAAAAATCTTTCACACAGGTATTTGCCAGTGACTGCTCTACTGATGTTTAGGCAAGCTATATAATAAACCACTTCAACTACACAAATAAAAAGTGGCAGGGAAGCCATAGTGCCTGTTAATGTTGTAAAAGCATTATGCTGAAAAGCACAAATATTTAAAGACAACTGTTTGTCACTGCTTGGCAGATAACATTAATGTGAATGGTACAGTGTCTTCAAAGCAATTAGGGGAAATATTGCTCTCATGATATATCTATGGACCAAAGCAGATGTAGGTGAGCGATTACAAGTAAGGAAAAGGTAGCAGTACAGGAGTTTTAGGCACTTCCATTTTAATCTGCTAATCAATCTAGTTTTCACATCTTGTAACGTGATTGAGCTGTTAAGATTACAGTGACAGCTGTGGCTATAGTTTTATCTTAATTATAATCAATTATTATACAAAAAGATACAATAAGATTAACGCTATTGTAATACAAGCTATGTTACATAGTTTGGGACTACACAACTCAGAATACTACTTGTAGCAGTTCTAAATCTTTTCTCTAATTTGAAAAATATAGAATTAAGTAGCCAAGTGGATCTATTCCCTACAGTAAGGGAATGTAAGGATGATCCTGTTGAAAGTCTGTGTGTTAAAAACTTGGAAATGTTGTTGCTTTGAGGGTCTGTTTGGGGTATTTTCAAGGCACCCGTCGAGGCAAAGCATATGTCTACCAGTGAAGGACAGTGCAGGACATCCCTGAAGTCATCTATGCAGCTATGTTGTATGCTGTGATGGTTGAGGATTCTGGAGTAGGTGGGATTTTAAAAGACTGGGAAGAAAATAAAGAAAAGCATGATGCCAAACAAGGAAGAAGAAAAGAAGTCAAGGAGTTTTAGACCAAATCAAACTAACAAGAAGAAAAAAGACTATCGTAGAGCTGGCAGTACGAATCTCATCATGTGTTCTCCATTTCCTTACTGACCAAGTGCTATGGATCAGGAAAAAAGCAAAAGATGTGCTAACATGGACCTTCTGTTTCAAATGCCAGTTTCTTAAAAATGCAGAGAAATACAATTATTTCTATCTTACACCATGGATGGCACAAGTGACTGAAAAGCTGTATTACATAATTAAGTATCAATAATTCATAGCTACTAGAACATAAGTGCAGCTAAAGTTGTCTTAATTCTGACTGATATAGAACGCAGTGTCTCTGCCAAGCAGCCTCGAGTGGATGCCTTGTGTAAGAACAGCGGGTGCATCTATGGGACCTTCTAATAATCTCAAGCTTTGACAGCCAGACATGGTTCCCATGTGGTAGTAGCTCTCAATGGATTTATCTTGCCTCCCCTTAAGCTTCTGTGAAAACATGACATGAATAAGTAAGGATAATGTATTAGGCGATTCCATAGGTGATCTATTTGATTCCAAAACTATTTAGTATTTCCACATACTTCTGGAATAGGGTACACATAAAATCCAAGGTAGGAACTAAGAACTCGTTAGAGGACAGCATTAATTTTCAATTTGTCAAGACCAATGAACTAAATAGAATGAGTACAGTAAGTATTACAGGCAGGAATAATCAACTACCCAAAAGCAAAATACATGGTATGACAGTTTATCAGCTTTAAAGGAAAGTTTCTTGGGATTACAGTAAACAGAAACTGAGTGTGACTCAATATTCCACTTGCATGATTCTGCAACAGTTTTACATCATCATGAATAGACTCTTACATATTTTACACATAATCTTGTATTTCTAGTCAATACTGATGAGTGTGTTAGTGTGTTAGCTGGAATACAATAACCAATTTCAAGCACTGTACTTCAAGAACAGTTTAGGCTAATAAGAACATAATAAGCCTTTCAGATTTCTGATCAAAATCATTGAAGAATCAGGGTTATGTGGTCTACAAAGACTGCACGCTGTCATGAAAAATGACATTTCATACAGAGGAAAAAATAAAGTCTTCCTATGGTCAGTGAGAAGAAAAGCTTAGAATTGGAACAGGGGAAACTCCAACCTGAGGAAAAACTTCCTGGTGGTTGGAATAGATGAGCAGTGAAACACACTGCTTATGGAGGCTGTACAACCTCCACCACTGGAGATTTACCGGGACAGTTAGATAAAACGATCTAAACCATTCCTGACAGGTGACTCTGCCTTAGGTCATTGGTATTGGCCTGATGTTTTCTCAAAGTCCCCTGAAGTCCTATGTCTGATTACACACATAGACCTGTAAAACAACAGACTGTAACATTCAAAAAGGAAGCAGTTAACATAATGGTTGTCCCTTCTGCACTGACTCTCCATATTATTTCACAACATATGAAATTAGTAACTACTGCACCAGAAGTCATTTTAACAATTTAACTTCACCTTGTTTCTCAACTGGAAAAAATATTGGCATTACCATGTCTGTTGAAACTTCTAGTCTGAGCAGACAAAGCCATTTTAAATTAGTAATTGCACTCCTCTGAACTCCACTGGTGCACCTCGATGCTACTGAATTCCCTAGTGCTGGGAAGCGCCTCATTCCCACATCATTTTAACAAGCAGAGCTATAGTGTCTGGCTCTTCCTCACTCTGTCTCTTTACACCTTCCAGAGCTCCAAGCTGGGAGTTTGGGATCCAGCCCACAGGGTGCCCAAGAACACGAATCAGGAAGCCATGTACTAAGGACAGCTATCCAAGGAAGCATGAAACCATCCTTGGGAAAGGTTGAGCGTGCAAAAAGGAGGTAGTGTTAAGGATTCACAGATGTAAATTTTCTTCTAGCATTGACTGCCCAGGACAAATGAGTCTTTTATTGCAAAAAAAAGCGGACATTGTCCATGTCAGATACCCACAAAGTGAGGCCTGCTGTTGCACCCAGTCCCCCTTCAGGACTGCAGCAGAGCTCCCCACCAGCAGGCAGGGACCTACATTCATTTCTGTGGTCTCTGTGTAATTGCTGCTTAAGTGTTTTATACTGAATAAGTAGTCACAAGATGAGTGAGCAAGACATAGTGCCTCAGAATATCCTGTAATAAACAAGGCTGAGACCTTATCATAATGACATCCAGTTTGCTTCTTGACAGAAGTGCAGCCAGGTTTAATTTCCCTGATCTACTCAAAAGCAGCGTATACGCAGACTGCATCTGTGAGAGTACGAAGTTTTATCAATGTAACAAGTATGATCTGGTTAGCATTATCTCATTTAACTGGACAGAAAACTACACGTATCATTTAGGTATCCACGCGTTCTGGACATGGTTTATGAGAAGCTGTAAGTCACATCTCTTTAATCATTTCATATTCAAATTATAATGTAACCAGACTCCCAAACAGCCACTGATAATGAAAAACATGAACAGTGTGGGAAATAATATGATTTAGCGTTACACTTGGGAAGTTAGAGGGTTTTACATCAGTATCTTAGAGTTAGCTGTACTTTTTCTTATTGGTGTTGCTTTTTTTTTTTTTCTTTCTCTAGTCGTAGTTTAATCCTAGCTGAGTACAACCCCTGTCTTCCAGTAAAGACAGTTTTTCTTTGTTGCAGAGAAGCACCCTGTAGCTTTATTTCAGAAGTCCCTGGCTTTCAGAGGCAAATCTTGCTTCCTGATTTTGACCTGAAGGACCACTGCTGCTCTCAACAAGTTACTCTTCTAAGATGAGATGTAAGGGAAATAAAGCAAGCCAAACCATAACTAAGAGCATTTTCTGATCACTGGGTTCTGGAATACAAAGGAAGATGACAATGTCTGTGATCTCTGCACTGTGTGCAGCCCAGTGGACAGGCATGTTCAGAGAAGGTCCACGTACATCTCATGAGCAAGACAGGTTGGTGACAAGTTTTGTTTGTAAATCCTTCAGAGGAACAACATGGTATTTGCCTTGATGGCCCTGCATCAAAGCTCAGCAGCAGGTATGTGAGTAACATAATGCATACCTGAAAATTAGTAACAGGAAGCTTGGGGGTGGGAGGGTGGGAGGGTGTTGATGACAAAAATCTGACCCAGCTGTTTTAGTAAGCACATCCACTGAGCGTATTATTGGCGGCTTTGCTTTAGTCTGAGGCATTGGCCAGTAATTCTGCTGCACCAGAATCTACAGCAGCCTTGGCACACAACCCAGCCTGCTAGTGATGGATACTGAGCACAGGAAAATGAGACTCCCCACAAGAAACTGGGATTAGTTCTTGACAAGATCACACAGATCCAATGAGCATCTGTTATTTTCTGTGGATGCTGGAGTGGGTGAGCTTGCTACTATATAAAGACAAACAAATGCATTTAAATTTGCATCAAGTTTAAAATAATCCCTTAGACATTGGTGTAAATGCTTCAGCTCATTGATATTGAAAGCATACTGTGCATGAGCAGTTAGAAAACTCCATAAAAATGCAAAATAAATAAAAATAGATTTGCACTTGAAACAAACATGAAAATGGCATAACTGCTTTCAAGTGCATTATTAATAGTATCTAGAAGAACAGCTACAAGTATGGTAAGTGAAAAAAAAAAGATGAAAATAGAAAGCTCATCTGTGTTGCAAGTTGTGCTAAAACCTTTATTATATAGACACAGCTTGAGTCACCTGCCAGCCTGCCAGCTCAGAACCTCTTTTGTGATGACAGAATCAACATTTCTAACACAGTAAACTTATATTGCTTAGCAAACAGTAAATATACAACGCACCTGTTACAAAAGTGAGTACTATTTACTCATTGTGACACAGGTGCAGGGAAATACTGCCCAAAGACCTACACAACAAACTACAGGCAAGAGAATACATAAATAAGGCAGAAGCTTTCCAAGGTCATGTCCAAGTGGAACAAGAATGCCCACCTCCCAGCATCATCTAGCCCAGGAGGTCTCTCTGAGATGTCTTTCTTACGCCCAAGAAATAAATAAGCTGAACTATCCCCATCTGTCGTGACAGTTCACGGTTGTCAGGGGAACAATCTGAAAAACAGAGCCTGGCTTATGATATCAGGTAACAGAGCCCTTAATTGCCATAGAGGAGGCAAAGACTTGGGCTTTTATTCAGGACAAAAAGCACAAAAACAGAAACAAGATATTTTTCCCCCTAGGCTGGCTAACTAGATCCACAGAGAGCCTCATAAATTTCATTTAGGCTAGAACTGTGAAATCTGAATTGACTCTGTGTTGCATCACTTCTGAAAGTACAAGAGCAAGTAGGTTGAAAAAATGATATAGGTTAAGCAATTGTAACAGGTTTCCAAGCATTTTGTTAATCACTTCCTTTTCATAAGCGTATGTGGACTATATACTGCACACAGCATCCACCTATTACAGTAGTGCAAAAGTGCTATATTGAGGTTATGATTCCTCCCTTCCTCAGCTTTCACGATGTGATGGTTGCTATGATTCCACCTATCCAACAGCAGGTACAGCTTTTGTACTTCATGAGAGGGAAAAGAAAACTATTTTTTTAGGTAAATGGATCCATTAAACCCATGAATAATCAGACTAGGTTTTTACCTGCAAGGAGCTCCAATTCATTTGATAAAGCCCCACTGAAATGTGCTTGTTTCTTCACACCTCTGCAGTCTCCATGTACAATATTCTGTACACAGGCCAGCCTGAAGCTCTCTCACTGACAGCATACTGAAAGCAGCACTTTGCTTTGGTACTCCTGAGCAAACAGGTTTATACCAAGTAAATAAGGTTCTCATTCACACCTAAGGACCAAAGCTAAAGGTGACCCTTTCTAAAGAAGATCAAGGACCTATCCCAGTACTTCCACATTTTCAGATCTTCTGCTCCTCCACAGCATTTCTTTCCTTCCTGACTGAATGTATCTTCACTTCTTCAATAACTCTACTTTGTATGATTCCCTCCCTATTTTCTTTCCTGCAATCAGTTTCCATTGTGTTTACCCTGAATTCATAGGATCCGTTTCCAACTTCAGTTTTCACTGGTGCCTAAGGGCATAAAGATTTTATTCATAACATGATTTGCATTGATCTGTGCTACCAGTGGTCAGCTACTCCCTACAAGTCCTGTTAATGCCTTCTAAGCTTTTGCACAGGCACAGCCAGACCTCTGACAATTGCCCTTTACCACATGCCAGCCTCTATCAGAACCAACCTCATCACTGCTACTGCTATTTGTCCACAGCTTTGGGGCTACTTTGTCAGCTTGTATCAACTTCCACGCCTGAGTGATTGTAGCAACAGGAAGGTACTTGCCATATTTCAAGATTTGTTATGAATTTTACAGCATCAGTCCATGGCACAGTCAGTATAAATTGTGCCTGGATATGACAAGCTTTGCTGAACCTTCTGCAATATAGGTGCAGTTTTTTCTCCTAGCGAATGATATGGAATAAAATGTGTTTTCAGACACTTGCCAGTCACTTGTGTTGATGGCTGCCAAAATTTCATCTTTCCAGGTTTTCCTATTGTCTTCTTTTGAGGTCACTGTTCAGAGCAGCCACCCACTCACTAGCCAATCTGCCCACATCTGATACAGTCAAATACAAATCAGCAGGAAGTAGTAGGAGCATCTCCTCTACCTGCTTAAGTGGCCCTGCAAACTCTGATGAGACAGAACTGAAGAGTTTGTGCCACTCTAGCTCAAGAGAAAACATGCTAATTTAAAGAAATGTAAATTCTGCACTGGCAAAGACTGTGGGAAGTGGTCAGTAAAAATCTTGCTCTTGTCAGTCCACATTACGTGATCATCTCCTAGAATGACCAAGTTTCTGGAATCCCTGCTAATGCCATTACGTAAGAGGTTCATTTCAGGGGTCACATCCAGAATACTGCAAAAGCAATGTCTGCTTATGAAGCCCTGCTGATATATCAGTACGGAATATCTTTCACCTAGAATACAGTTGATAAGAAAATCAAAAGAAGTAGCTCCATATGGCAAAGCCTCTAACAGAAACCTCAAGCACCTACATTGGCACTGAATCAAACTAATTCATCTAGAGCTGTCTGAAGTTATACAACTGTTTACACACTTTCTGAAAACATTTTATCTTCTTTTATGAGGCATTATCTGCTTGTTTGTGATGATTTATACGCTTCACTCCCTGTCCATTTCTAAATCATCTGGAATGAAGAGCGTAAGAAGGAAAGCCTCCTTTACAATTTGAGCAAACACTCAGAAATTAATGTCCTGAAAAATGACGCTATTTCCTACACGTCTTGATTAATGAGGCTTCTTCCTCAAGAAGTCGTAGCACAGAAAGGTAGGACTCTGGATCAAACTAGTACAAGGCTCCCCAAAACAGTATTGTAATGTCTCCTCCCCACAGTGGACCACTGTCAGCACATGCAATGCACAGGACCGCTGTTTCCAAAAAACACTAGCAAGACATAAGGCAATGGGTAAATCCCTCTTTTTTTACCTTACAACAGCACTTGTTATCCTGGCCCCTAGAAGAGCTCTCAGAGCCATTTCTCCTTGAAAGCCCTTCCTGGAGTTTTTGCTTTGCCCTGTGCTTTACCACAGGTGCTCCCAGCGGAGGGGTGCATCATGGCAAAGTCTGGGAAGCCTCCCCAGGTCACTGGCACCTCAGGGGCCTGTCTGGAGAGCGGGTCAGACCAGGACCACCCTGAAGGATGTGGCCAAGCTGGGTCCCCTTGGCACAGAGGTGCCATCACTGTGCCGCACGCCCTCCCAGGGAGGTGCTGGGTGGCCCCACTTGCGCCCAGCCCCTCGCTGCCTCCCCAGGTGCACCAGGCCTCACCTTTGTGTGAGCTGCGCCTGTGTTTACCCTCCCACTTCCTTGTTCCTACTCCGGCACGAGGGCCATAAACCGCACGGCTGGCACGGCCTGAGCCCTCGGCAGCAGTGCCAGGAGGAAGGCGAGAAGGGGGATGGCGGCCAGCCCCCCGCCCCGTGTCAGGAGGGCACCCCGGGTGCCACCGTGGCGGCTGGGAGTGCAGCCGTTCCCCTAACTCGCTCATGCCCACCGGCCGCCCTCATGCCCGGGGCCACGGGGGACGAAAAGACCTACTTCCCCTTCTTCTCAGACTTCAGGGGCCGCAACGTGACGGCCCTGCGCGTCGGTGAGTCGGTGGCGCTGGGCTCCATCTTCCTTCTGGCCTTGCTGGGCAACGTCTGGGGCATCTGCCTGCTGGCCTGGCGGCGGCACCGGCTGTGCGTCGCCAACTGCCTGGTCCTCAACCTCTTCTGCGCCGACCTGCTCTTCATCACCGCCATCCCCTTCATTGGCGTCGTGCGCTGGACCGAGTCCTGGGTGCTGGGCGACGTCATCTGCCACATGCTCTTCTACGTGATGACCCTCAGCGGCACCGTCATCATCCTCTCCCTGTCGGCCGTCAGCCTGGAGCGCGTCGTCAGCATCGCCCGCCTGCACCACGCTGCCTGCCAGCCGCCGCAAGGTGCTGGTCGCCGCCCTCCTCGTCTGGGGCTTCGCCGCCGCCGTCACCCTGCCGCTCTGCTGCTTCTTCACCGTGGTGCGGCTGCCCTGCCGCCGCCGGGGAGGTAGGGGCGAGCGGGGGGAAGGCTCCAGGCCCTCTGCCTCCGCCACCGGGGGGCGAACGGCGCCGGGGAGCGGGCGGCAGCGGGGCTATGAGGGGGGCAGCAGCCGGCCCCCGGCCCGTCCTGAAATGGGGCTCGGCGAGGGTCAGGCTGCTCCTCTGCGCTTTGTAGGTCGAAATTCCCCGTTTCGGTACACGTTAGTGTGTAAAAATGCCGTTAGCATATGGTCCGGAATTGCTGGCACTGACTAGATCGAGGACAACTCACCTATCTGTACACGTGTGAGCTTTTAAAACCATAAAGTGATACATGAAAGTTTTCACGGGTTCAGTTTAGTCTGCACCCACTTTCTCCATAGGCACAGAGGGAGATAAGGACAACGTTGTGGTAAAAACTGTACAATGTTACTTTTCTTCTTTATTCTTTGCAAACAGGAGGTTCAGATTTGCACCTTGGTTTGGCCCAGCACTGCAGGAGAAGTACTTTGGGATGTGACCTATGCCACTGTTGTCTTTTTAATACCGGGATTAGTCATTGTCGTCAGTTACTCCAAAATCTTGCAGGTACTTTTCTATTTTGTTATACAACTAGGAGAAGTAAACAACCATTCACTAGGCATCAACATATCATCATTGTATACAAACACACTTAAAGAGTATAGACATTATTAGCTCTGGTAGAAAATGTGTGATATAAACAGAGACATTTCAACCTGTAAGCATGTACCTTTCAACTAAAGACATGCTTGAACAGCACATTACCAGAAGCCTAACATAAAGTTTGTCGTCATTTATATGCAGTATATAATACCCTTCTCCATTTATGTATCATCCATATTTAAAGACTCTCAATCTCCTAAATGCATACAGACTTAAGCATCTGAAATGCTTAGATATTGCATTTCTTTAGCTTAGACTCCACAGACTTGCAAGGGAGTTGTACGAAAGCAAAGAAAAGCAGGATTGGAAACAACAGTCCTTCCCCTTTTAGATCTACTGATTTTTCTGTTTTCTGTGTGGATTTCTATTTCACATATTTTATTAGAACACATTTATTCCTCCACAACTTCTGACTTTGCAATGTGCAAATGGAACACCATATCCACATTCTGAGTAGATGTTGAAATACAGGCACCAAAGTCTATATCCTAGCAAGCATGGTACTAGACACCTAAATTCCTTTTAAAAATCTGATTTCATAACCCTTCCTCTTCCAAAAACGGTGTGAGAAAAGAACGAGAAAACTACAAACTAAGCACAAGAATGTATGTTTTTTAGCAACTGCCCTGGAAAGATTCTTGTTTCCTGTTATGGGCTAATTAAATTTCTCATACTATTTTACTACAGAAAAGTAAAAGCTTTGGAAAGGAACCTCAAAATACACCAATTATTGAGCAGGGAATTAATTGGTGAAATGAGGAGCACCAGAAGCTGTGGGTACGTGAACCAGATGTATATGTAGGTGTACATGAACCTGGGACCTAGACTCCAAGGCTCTCAATGGACTGCTATTGATCGGACTCAAACTTGTCAGTCATCAGTTCTAAGTTTCTCTACACTCTAACCTCATTACAATCTTGAGGTAAATGCATTAGGTAAACCTCTTCTAGTGAAGTAAAATACTTGCTTTTTGCAACCTCATACTATCTGTACGTGGAAAGCATACAGTAACTCAACGGGGAGTCCAAGCCCTTTGAAAAAATTGCAAGAAACTGCAGGCCAACAAATGCCACAGTCCTTGTTCACAGAGCATTACAGGAATGGTGTTCTGCTTGTCCTTGCAGACTCCAGATTATTACAGGTAGATTTGGAAAACACAGTGGCACATATGGATATAGAATCCCCAAAAAGTGTTCAGCATACTGGATTACAAAACAACCCCTTGCTGCTATGCTTGCATTTCTTTTCCAGCTTGATAACACGGATGCTGAGATGTGTTACCACTTCTCCTGAACTGAAAAAGGAATAAGGCCTATAGCAGATTCCCATATGTTGTAATTGATTCTTTCTTACACAGCTTTCCGGAAAGCACCCAGAACTCAGATGGAGTATATTTTAATCCTTGAGTCGAACAGATTCACTCTAACTTTGTCAGAACACTCCATGATGCCAGTACTCACTGGGTACAATGCTAAATATTACTGCAAGAAGTTCAAAACATTAGTGTATTCATTTAACACAGCATCTATGAGGATGATGATTAACTACAAACGCTCTAAGTTAATAAGAAATATACTCTACAAATGTAGCTCAATTTAATCTGAAACTGAACATTATTTTTATACAACACTTCCCAGAACACTGGCAAAAACGACAGGCTAGAAGGCACGTTTAGTTAATGGAGTTATTTGTTTTTGCAGTGTTCCCCCTTCAGGTATGGCCCAACCCATATGGATTTAGATAGAAGGCAAGAACCAGTAAAGATGTTACTTACTTGTATATACACTGACCTTTAAATTACTTGTCCTCAGAGTGTAGTCCAGATTCCCACTGTATGTGTCTAGATTCCTTATGCTGGGCACACCAAAAAGGGATCCAAAACATGTCACTGTCACCCTGTTTCAGTTGAGCATTTCATTCAGATGCAGTTGCATCTTACTGCAGTGCTGGTGATTCTTTTATTCTTAGTTCTAGACTGTGCAGTTCCAACAGCAAAGATGGGGTACTTTTATGGTAGATAACAAAACCTGCTGGTTGAGGACTTTCTGTAGACATTGCTTTGAAAACTGGAAGCTGAAGAGGGTACAGAGCTTGTTTTTCCTACTTTTTGGACAAATGCTTAAAACCCTGCACACATATTTGAAGTGGGCATTAGTCCTTTGTATTTTATGCAGTGCATGTTCTTACTAAGGTGGGTTTTGTATGCTCTGGGAACAACTCTTGAATCATTCAGAGTTAGCCTGATTTCTGGATGTCAAGAAGGTACAGCAGGAGATGATCAAGCTGGTATAGTTTTACATGTTCAAAATATCAGAATTCTCTGCCCCTTTTAAATCAGGGAAGCGGCTATTGATATTGTTGGTAGATGTCTAGGTTCTTACAGGATACTTATTCTAGGACATCAATCTCTGTGACAGACTCAGAAAACTGCAGGAAGAAGAACAAATTACTCAATGTCTATAACCATTTTCATCTTTACCTGAACCAGGAAACTATTAAGTATTACTCATACTAGTGTTATCCTTCTCTTAGTTATTGGTAAAGGGAAATGCCACACATACAAATAGCAGAAAGACTCTTATGCTTTAGACTTTCCTATTTAAATACCAGATTGATTGAAGGTTTTGAAAATAACCATACTTGGGGTAAAATGGCATCTTGATTATTTAGCTTTTTTTTTTTCCAAATATATATATATATATATTTTACTTTGCATCACATATATAAATCTAACAGACTTCAAATGTTCTGTGCAAACTACAATGAAGACATTGTGAGTAGAGCTTAAGATTTAAAGTTTTCTGCAAGACCTTGGGATTCAATATTCTATGTAATGACAGATGATACACACCCATGAATAGCAGATTCCCAAACTAGCCATCCTCTGGTTTATTACATCAGACGGTAATTTTACAAGACACAGAGATTTTAGTAGTGACAAAAGGATCTGTAAGATTTCAGATTAATTCATAGAAAGCGATTCTGATTACTGACTGAAAAACTTAAGAGTTTACACAAAACCTGAAATCCCATTCAAAATTAAAACATACCATGATTTCATTACTGTAATAAATTCATGCTCCTTCTAATACCTACCTTATAATACCATGTTCTCTTATGTTATGTTATGTTCCAGTTTGCATTTGTGGAAAAATCAATGTGATTATTTAGGTAGAGAAAATGAAGTCGTAATTTGAAGTTAATGGGATTTCATGAGTAATTAAGGCCCTATTTTATGCTGAATAGTATTTATGGCTTCTGGAGAGCCATACAGAGAACAACCAGTTTCATTAATACTGAGGTGAGCTCACAGCTGAGAGGAAGAAAAACCTCGGTAGTAAAGTGAAAATGTTTGAAATGAAACCATTAACAAAAAGTAAACATGGAATTCTCCAATGCCTTTTTAAGTAGTCACTTTTCAAAATGGAAACATCATGTGCAGAGACTTGCTTTTGCAACTATAAAAATGTGTTAAGAATATTTCTAGGTTTCAGTGAAATCTACTTTCTTCTCTTTTACTGCAGATTACAAAAGCATCAAGAAGAAGTTTAAATGCTGGTTTGGCCTACTCACATAATCATCAGATTCGTGTTTCCCAGCAAGACTACAAACTATTCCGAGCCCTCATTGTGTTGATGATCTCCTTTTTCATCATGTGGAGCCCAATTATAATCATTATTTTTTTAATTTTAGTCCAGAACTACAAGCAAGATTTAAATATTTTGCCATCAGTTTTCTTTTGGATAGTGCTATTCACTTTTGCTAACTCTGTTGTCAACCCAGTTTTGTATAATGTTGCCCATTTCAGACGTAAATGTCAGGAAATTCTTCTCTATTTTACAGGGAACCATACAGGGAATGGGGCTGGTACAGAAACCACTGCAAAAAGAAGTAAACGTGAACAACCTAATTTGTCTTTCATTACCAGATAATTATTTAAAGTCTGAACAGTGACACACTTTGGATGTTAATGGCTATACTATCCCAGTTTGAATAGGTCATTATACTATAGTATTACATGTTGGAAGAGGCAAAAAAAGAAAAAAAGGAAAAAAAAAAAGAAACTAATTTTAATTCTCTTGAATTCGTTGCTTTGCCTCAGTAAGATTGCACAATTTAATCCAATGGATTGAATTTATACTGGAAGAAATTGAAATATGGCAGTGAATTTGGTGAGTGTAAAATAGTTGAAGTACTTAGCAGAAGAATTAAATTCTATGGGAGTACATTTTCTGTTGACGTAAAAGTTATTAACTTTAATGAAGTTATAATGAAGCCATATCAAGAATAGACCTGTTCCATTTTTAATCTGTATTTTCTACTGAGTGAGATCAACTTGCTTGTGAAAAAGTACATCCACAGAGAGTATCTGCTCTTGTAAAATACCAGAAAAAGGACACTTGATTATATAGTTAGAAAACCGACTACCTGAATAAAGGTTTGGGCAGATGAGATGATAAATGTATTGTCACCAAAAGAATGACTGTTTTGGTTCCATCTCAAATTAAAAATGTGGATGTAATGCCTGTTAATTTATAAATAAACTATAAATGTTTACTTGTTATGTTTAAATTATTTCTTTTAAAAGGATGCATTTTTGGTGTCTTCAGTAGTCATAAAATTAAGCAGTGATATATACAGTCATTGAAATTCCTTCCTCCTTTCTAAAATGCTATTGGAAAAGATTTCCAGTATTTCCTAGAAAAAAAAGATGACATCATACTTGAAAAGAAAGTAAGTTTTAGAAAGCAAATACACACATATATATTCCAATTAAAACACCATAAGTCAGAAATTGAAACCAATAACAACAAAAAAAATAATTCTTAATTATTGGCATCTGTCAGCAATTTAACATAGTGCATTATGATAATAGTTTATTAATAAAACCAATGCCTACATATGTACAGATGTGCATACAGACAATTTGCATCCCCTGTAATTTGAGTTTATTAAAATGTTTCATTGGTTTATTAACAAGATGAGCTATGCAGCTCAGATAAATATATTCAAAATCTAAATGGAGCCATCCAAAGGCTTTTCAAAAGAGCACCTGATCAACGTGTTAACTTTACATCCATGGTGCTGTCACGTGGTTTACTTCCATATTTTTGGATCTCCTTAAGAGCAAAATCCTGTAACACACAAAAACCCAAATTTAGTTTTTCATCCACATTAGACAAAACTATAATATACACGCTTTCACCAAACTTAAAATGAATATGTATTTAATTTCTTTTAATATGTTTTTAAGTCCAGTAGTCTGTTGCTTGTAATGATGTGCCAATACTTAGCTCTGCACTTTATAAGCCCAAAGAATTTTCAACTCAAAACAAAACAGGAATTTATCCAATCTGTTAAACCTGTCCTGATCATTTTAATACTTTCACAAGCAAGATCACATTGAATAGATCACAGGTAGAAGTGTTATTTATGTACTTAAACAAGCTTCAAAGTATTTTAAATTTTAAAATTATTACTTTAAGTACATCTTTCAACAAAATTAGAATCTCCTGACCTCCAAAATTTCTAATGGCAATAGTAAATTAGTTGAATTTACTACTCTTTAGCTGAAAATACTGCTCTTTAATTCAGAATTTTTGCTTCTAATAAATGCTAAACTGCAGATTTAGTTTTAAATTCTATTAATATCAAGCTCTAAAAGCTTGCTCTGAAAGTAGCCACACTGTGATATCCACTCCCACGTTGAAAAACTTAAAAGCAACTGTGTTATATACTCTGAGAGACTGTGTCAGTGTATACAGCACAGCTGAATGTATATTTGGAAGGGAGCTACCACCAGAAATGCAAGATCAGTTATAACAAAAACAACAACAACAACAACAAATCCTATGTTTTTCTTTTGCCTAAAACAGCCAGTATACAAAGATATATATAATACATAAAAAATATATATATATATATATATATATATATTTTTCCATCAAGGCAAGGTTTGTACATCTATTAGTCTTTTGGGGGTGCATTTAGTACAGTATAAATTTAAAAAGTTATGGATAGATCAACAGAAAAAATATTTAGCTTCAAGACATAGGCAGAGTATGCACAATCAGAAACAGATACAAGCCTATTCTTGCAGTGTCTATTAACTTCAATCAGAATTTTACCGCAATAACGGCTGAATACAGGCTTGTGAAGATAATTGAAGCTGGCTCTTTTTGCTAATAGTTCTGCAGCTTTTAATAGCAGAATTAAAACTAAGGTAGCAAGTCTCATGCTTCATTTCATGAGGAATTAAGTGATTTTTGTGAGTTTCTAATATAAAGCTTTTAATAATCTTTTGTCAATGTAGCTTGCAGTCATTCTCTCATTTCCAAACATTTTTGATATTCAGGAACTCAGCTTAATGGGACCAGATAATTCAGAATCAACTAACAAAATGGTAATTACGGGTCTGATCACAGTAATGGAAGAATGCAAATTGCTTGCTCTAAGTTTCATTTACAAATGCTGCAGACAACATTAGAGACCAGACTACCATTTTTCATTTGCAAACAGTATTGGACTCAAATGGTTTTATCAGACACAGCACTCAACACCTAACATCTGAATAATACAAATGAGGGTAGGAGAAACAGAACAGTACTCAGCAGAACTTGGTAGATTTGATATTTCTGTAAAAAAATGGAGGCAACAACATCAAGTTTTAAATTAAGGTCAGGAAAGTAAAAGAATATTTGGAGCTTAACTTTCAAGAAACACGCTGAGCTTTTATTTTTAAATTATCCTATTGGATCTATATTATGTGAAAAATACAAGCATTCTATTATACGAAAGTTCTAAGATATTTAAAAAGATATAACACAAATTATGAATAAATTAATAAACTCATTTTTTCTTTTTTTTTTGTTTTTTGAAGACTGACCTGAGCAAAGTCTATGCTTGCCCACACAAGCAGAGAGAATTGGATAGTAAAGAACTTGCAAACATAGGAATACTTTCTTGCAAGGATTGACAATGCATTTATTGCGTTGTGAGCCTCATACATCCTAGAAATAATGGAAACACAGATTCTACAGAGCTGAATCCGACTAGTACTGAGACTAGGCCAATGTCCTGATTTTATAGTTGGACAGTAAAAAAAACTTTCTCTGGTTTGACAGAAATGCAAGGAACCACCATAACATACACCTCTCACAGTTAAGAACAACAGCTGTATATCTATACATGTACTTTATCTTAGATTTAATGCAAAAACCTCCCTAACATCTCTAATCATCTCATTATTTTGTTTTCTCATCTTCAGAAATTTTAATTTTTGCCATACTTCATTTGAAGAGCAGTAAGTGTGGTATTCAAAACAAGAAAGTATCATCTATTTATATAATAATGTTGTTTATTTTCTATTCTACACTTCATGCAATCAAATACAACATTAACTTTCTGATTGCTGCAGCAAATGAAGCAGAATTTTAATTATGTTGTCTGCTGCATCATACAGATGTCTTTCCTATACACACAGGTCAGAACTCAACAGCATATGAGTGGTTAAATTTTTTCCTGTGAAGCTTTGTTACAAGTACTAATCAAAAGCCAATTTCATTTGCATCTGTGATTTCTCTTAAACCTGCTTTAAATACTGTTATGTTGCCTCCAAATTCTCATTCAATTTTTTTATTTTTTTTTTATTTTTTATTGTTGTCAGGCACTTTTTCCAGGTCACTAATGAGTATACTGGCCACCACTCACCTTAGCACATCTTTCAGGCACCCTGTTATCAGGATACTTACTTTACAACATGGCTATATATTTACTCTCTGTTAATAGATCAGATGAACAGGTAATAAAGACACAAGACCTGACTACTCATCTGTTCTGACTTTCTTTATAGTACACCAAAGTTCCTTCAGTCAATTCCAGTTTATTCCAACATGTTGTTTAGAAAAGCCTTTTATCTTGATTTACAGATTTCAGTGATGAAGACCATGGAACAGCTCTTGATAAATAGTTCCAAAGGTTAACGAACTTTGGAGTTAAACAAATGGCTATTTATTTCTGCTCTGAATGTGTCCAGTTTAAAGTTCCATCCATTTTATTTTATTATTCCTATGTTTGCAAGTCCTTTACTATCCAATTCTCTCTGCTTGTGTGGGCAAGCATAGACTTTGCTCAGGTCAGTCTTCAACCTCTCCTGATGAGAAAACGATCAAGCTTTTTGAAATATTCACTGGGGGACACATTTTGCAAACTCAATCATTTTCGCTGCTTTTCTTTAAAATTTCTAATTCATCCTCAGTATCCTTCCCAGTTACACAAGACATATCGAGTGGACCTATGCCAAGCACAGTATTCTCATATGAATCTGTAAATTCATCTTTGACACCCCTGATTTATGCACTCAAGAATCATGCTAGCTCTTTTGGCCGTAGCATTGAATAAGGAGTTCACATTCCACTGATTCACCAGTCAAGTATTCTGTAAATATCTTGTTTTCCAGAATGCAAGGAAAGGAGTGGGGGAAAACTGCTATTTTTTTTTTTTTTTGCCCTAAATATTCTGATCTATCTTCTTCATAATTTACTATTTCCCACTCCATATATAATCTTTATCAGTAAATATACTATGTTTTCTTCCAGATCACTGATTAATCTAGCATAAGTAGTCACTTGGCCTTTCCTAATATATTTTTGAACTTTCTGTGCTGCACTCTACTGGCATAATTTGCTGGATGGACTAAAAACAACTTGAGTCTTTCGCCCCTGTCCCCACCTCTTGAACACTTCTGTTGTGCTGGAAATGTGCACATTGCAAATGTAGCCCCACAGCTTCTCTGCAGTTTTTCGGACCCAAAAGTAGGACGCAAAGATAAGCCACAGAGGAGCTGAGAAGAAGCAAGCTAATCTGTATCACTCCTTGTGTTGCAAGTTCCACTTGATTATATAACTCAAGATAGGGTCATACCTCTAGCATGAGGGATATGTCCCTTTTCCATAAACCTTTGTGAAATGGTTAGCATGAGGACCTGTGAGAAATG